CAATCGATCTCGATGCTTGATGTAGTGCTTTTCAAGGGCCCAGGGTGGAAGAAGACAGGTGTCTTGGATTACAGACTTCACACGAAGCCTACGAACCAATGGGCGCCTCTACTCTGTTCATCTTCGCACCACCCATCTGTGCACACTTCATGGCCGAAAGGACAGCTGAGACGCATCAAGATGCGATGCAGTAACCCAGCTACAGCCAATGCAGAGGTGCAGAAGTTTAGAGACCGATACCGGCATCACACTGGTTTCGAAGTCCGTGAAGAAGAATGCGGCCCGCAATCGAAGGGAAGAGATGGACATAAGCTTCTACCCAGACTAGTGCTTCCATACAGGCAAGCTTGGAGTGAATCCAGGATCCCATATATTTGCAACAAAGTCTGGAAGAAGTGCCAGATGGATCTCCACACTGGACAACCAGCTGACTTGCAGATGTGTTGGCGATTGCCTGATAAGCATTTGACCCACAAAGTCCGTGAAAGCAACTATTTCATGAAAGCAAGCAGAGAGACTCAAATGGAGGAGCAAGGGGATGGAAGGAGGGTAACTCCCTCTCTGTTTCTCTCGGGATGATAGAATCCGCACCGCGCCTGAGGAGAACAGACTCCCAGGAGACCTTGGGCAACAGGCCTGGGGCTTGAAGTGATGCGTGCTCTCGAAGAGCTCTTGAGCATTTGCATGAAGATCCGGCATACACTCTCATAACAGTGAACTCTCAAAGAGTTTGCTTCAAACATGCTTCTTTGTGAATCCTAAATGTGGACGCAAAGACATTCGCAAAGTTTTGGCTGAACCCGCTAAAGCGACAAGGGTACAGTTAGGGTAGCAAAGTCCTAACCAGCCTGTGAAGCCATCAGTGGCGAGAGTTTGAGAAAGCGGCGCCTCTTTACTGCTTTGAACCTGTGTCTGCACCAAGTGTGTTCCGGAGCTTTTCAGACATTCAGACCATGGTCGGCAGTGAGGCAGCAGACAGCCAACGCAGAGGAAGGCCTCTTTTGGCAACGGCGGCCCAGCAGTTTCCGGCCCCGTCAACAGAGTCCAAGAGATCGAGAACCAGATCCAGGGAGCCAGATGAGGCCAAAGAGCGCATAGACCAAGAGCCAGAGCTTAACATGAGAAAAGAAGAAGAGGATAAGATCCGCAACATCAAGATGGCAGTTGAGGATGAGTTTGCCAAAGTCATCCCGGCAGATTCATTGAAGATGATCAAAAAGGTGTCTTTGGAGCTCGCATCAAAGATTGAACAGCTGCAAAAGACCAACTCTCGCATCACGCAGCATGAGAAAGACATCGAGTCCTTGAAGTCTTGCGAGGCACGGATGCGTTCACAAAAACTCTGGCGCTCGGCAACAAGGACACCGAGAAAACATGGCTTCGTGGGCGTTGAGGTTTAAAGCCGCTCCGAGGCCCGCTGACTTAGGATAGGCTGTAGTGCAGCTTTTCACGTTTTGTAAACGCTCCTCCTCAGTGCAGGAATGGTTGTAGCAGCTGCTCAGCTTTGACATGTAACATCAACTGTCTTACCCAATATGCCCCCACCAGTTGTCATAGAACCAAGACAGTTTTACGAGTGTCACGGTGGGACATGTGTTGATTTTTCCGAATGCATCGCGAAGGGTTCTTCCGTGCGGAGCCCTCTGACTAACAACATAGAGTGAAGTGCATAGAGTGAAGTGCATAGAGTGAAGTGCATAGAGTTAAGTGCATAGAGTGAAGCGCATAGAGTCAAGTGCGTAGAGTTAAGTGCATAGAGTGAAGTGCACAGAGTGAAGTGCATAGAGTCAAGTGCATAGAGTTAAGTGCATAGAGTGAAGTGCACGAAGTTAAGTGCATAGAGTGAAGTGCAGAGACTGAAGTGCATAGAGCGAGGTGCATTTTAGTGCAAGAGTGAGGTGCATAGAGTAGAAGTACAACAGAGTGGAAGTTACGAGATTTTAGTACACTTTGAGTACAATTTTGGTACAATTCAATAGAATCGAAGAGATTTTAAAAAAAAAATTTAGTAGACCTTCGTACCCAAGCCTGCGCGCCTTAGGTGGTTTCGAAGCTCTTCACAAGTAAGGGTGCTCAAGAAAGCCGACAGCGTCCGGAGGACATACAGCAGCACGAAAGAAAATCGTTAACTCCTCAAAAACCTGCCCTAAACCACAAACCCTAAAAGCAAAACTCCAAAACCTAATATCCAACCCCCAACAGCCTCCCGCCACACCCCCGAGCCCATCCAGGCACAGCCAAGGAACGACGTCCCAAGAGGTCAGCATGATTACCTTGTGTTTGTTCTCCGTTTTTTTGGGCGTGCTTTAAGTTTCCATGTTGGAGCTTTAGGATTCTAGGGTCAATCTCTAGACTGAAAAACCTTATAAACCCCTAAACCCTAAATCCAGAAGAAGGATCTCAAGCATCCCGTGGTTCCAAGGCTTTCTGTTAAATTTCAAGCCCTACACGGGGGGAACTTTTTAGGGGGTGTGCAGGGCGTGTAAACGGGGTGGGGGGTTCATGGGTAGTTTTGATCTAAAGGGGGCTTCAGGGCTGCTAAGGTTCTGTGGCTAAGGGTGAGCTTAAGGTGTTTAGGCCAAAAATATGTGCGCGTCTGAAAATGATGAGGGACTCCTTGTTTGGCGCCTTGATGGCAAAACCTCATACTCATTTACACATTAAGAGACGGGCTTCTACTGTTGAAAAAACAAAATACGCCCAACACCCGACTCGAATTCACAAACCCTGAACCCTGAACCCGAAACCCGGTTTAGCCTAAACCAAGAAGGCTTGGGCAAAAACGGTTTTTCGCCACCCTCTGTGGGTGTTTAGATGTTAAGGACAACTCTGCCCACAGCGAGTCTCTCCGGACACCACAACACAGCGCTCTACTACCATTCCGCGAGTGCGAGAAGGACAGGAGATAGGACAGGCACGAGGACAAATGTGAGGACAGATAGCAGGACAGGACGCAGCACAGTATTTAAGGTTTAGGGCTTAGGGTTTAGGGTTTCGGGATACCCTAAAACCCTAAACCCCAATGCACCGCAAGGCGCTTGGGACAGTGCTGCGAAGAAGCCGAGGATCGGCTCCTCCGAAACGCGCACCTACCCCTAAACCCTAAACCCTAAACGGCCCTAAACCCTATACCGCATAATACGGAGAAGATCCCAAGATCGAAAACATCCAAAACCTTTAACCCTGAACCCTCACCCTAAACCTGAAACCCTAAACCCTTGAGGGGTAGAAGGCCTGGGTGCTTGTGGTTTAAGGCTTCAGGGCTTCAGGTTCAGCGGGCCCCCTAAATCCGAGAGACCTTGAATAAACCCGAGACTTCTGTGCCAGGTTCAAAAAGGTCTGGCTGGTTTAGGGTTTAGGGTTTGAGGGCTTTAGGGGTTCAGGGTGTAGGGTGTTATGGCTTAGGGCTTAGGGTTTTTGAGTTTAAGTTTAGGGATTCCTGAACCCAAAGACAGTCTATAGGGCACGCACGCACGCACGCACACCGAACATTATTTCTTCCTAAACCCTAGACCCGAATTAAACCAGAAATAAAACTCAAAACTTCATCCCAAACCATCCTAAACCCTAAACCTTGAAATCCCAAAGCCCCAAACCCCTCAAACCTAAACCCCAAACCCCAAACCCTAAACCCTAAACACAGGCTCCTGCTTTATCACAGTCACGGCTCCTTGCGCCCACAGCTTCACCTCGGGTGGTTCAGGATTTTCATTGTGTCGGGTTTAGGGTTTAGGGTTGTTTCTTGGGAGGTTCAGTTCATTCTGTGTGTGTGTGGCATATACGGACAAGGGCGATGGTAGGGTTGATAGCCTATAGAAGAAGGGTTTAGGGCCTTGACTATTCCTATAGTATCAGGCGATGGTAGGGTTGATGGCCTATAGAAGAAGGGGTTAGGGCCTAGACTATTCCTATAGTATCACCATATGTCTATAAGATTTCTACTGTTTCGCTATAGTACAATTGTAGCAAGTATTACATTAAGCCAAGGACACAGACCGTCAACCCTGCACCCCTAAACCCTGAACCCTAGATCATGGAAGGAAGCCGCCCAGGTTGAGTAGGCAGAATCCCAAATGCAAGCAAGGAAGCCACCCAGGTTCACCGGGCGGAATCCCAAGGATGGAACCAGAATGGCCGCGAGTTCCGGGTTTAGTGGTTTGCTGCGAGCGACTGGACCCTGCAAGAAGGATGACAGCAGCGGAGGGGCCCGCAGAATCAGAAAGATCATCCTTTATAATGACTGTATATCTATTGCTATACCTCCATAACACAATTCTAAACATTACCTTAGATTCTTAGATTACCTCAAGCCGCTTAGGGTGTTGGGTTAACAATAGCACACGATGTGATCCCCTTGCAACGGTAAGACACAAATCTTCTACGTGGGCCTCTAGAAGAAGGTTGTAAGTCGGTAAGTGAAGAAACGTTTACAATTTACAACTGGTTACAATTACAGATCTCCTCCTTATAAGACCTTTTGTTATGACTATGTGAGATCTAAACTAATTAAGCCCTAAGCCCTGCACCCGGATGCAAGCCCCAAAAACATAAGACCTGTTCCAAGGACCCCCAAAAGGGAGCGATGTCTGAAACTACCAAACAGCGCCACCTGGTTGAAGGCTGGGGAATGCTAGGGAGCTTATGAGCTATGACCATGCTGGGCATATCTGGGTCACCTACACATCGTGGACCCTCACCCCAAGACACTGCAAAAGACACAACGTTTGCAAGAGCCTAGGGCCTAAGTTCAATCAGTGGCCTCCGGAAAACATCTGCTTTGCTTGGACAGAGTATAGTCACGGCACGTTGCGCACTAACACACTGCCCTCTTGCCCCTATACTTCTGAGGGCAAAGCTGCTACAAAACTCTGGGGCTAAACTCTTCCCTGCTGCGCAGACGATACTTTCAGATGATTGCTGATGCCATCCTAAGCTCACAACCCCAGAACAGAGCCCGAAAGATCCATTCAGATCTATTCGAACTCAACAAAAGGGAGCTCTCAGCTCGTCTCTTTGGGAATCGCTGAGCCGGAAACACCTCGCAGGGCATCCCACGCGGCCGTTCGACAGCCCAGCTTTCTGAAGCCTTGGTAAACCGCCGCTATTATCTGATCGCTCACAGTTTGAAATTCGCGACCACATATGGCTGTCAGCTCTTTCCTTTGGGCGTCGGTGAACTGCATTTTCTTGCGGATGATGCTCATCGCAGGCGGCAGACATCGCCTGACCTCGTTCACCTGCTGGTCTGCCATGAACGCTGCGCAGGCCGCCCGCTCTGCGAATCGCTTTCTAGTGCGCACCCAATCTTTGGAACCGGGGGGATGTCTCGCAGCCTTTGGATCATTTACGGAGGAACCTTCGAAACGACGGTTGTGAAATCCTGTCGCGATCAGGGTGGCATGGAAGTGCGAGCCATCTCTCCAATGCTCGAAATGGTGGAGGCTTTGGTCCTGCTCCTCAGTCTTGTTGTAGCGCTCCAAGAAGTTCTTAATGCTATTCCTGCAGTACAGTCTGCCCAGGTTCGTGCTTTGAGACGAGGTTTAGGCTTGATGGGGGGTGGAGATTTGTCTTTGGCATTTTTTGTGTCTCATTTCTCTGTTTCATCGGAGAACTTCTGTTTTCTTTCATGCTTTCATAGGCAACCTCTACTTTACTTATATTTTCAATTGAAAAACTCTATATTCTTTGTCATGGGAAAACTTTGATAAATGGGATAACCTTTATTTTCTCTATGTTATGATAGGAAAACCTCGCTTCTCTATGCTGTCATCGGAAGCCTGTATTTGCTTTATGCTTTAATCCGAAAACCTCTACATTCTCTGCCTGTATAACCAGCGGTGGGGTTGGGGCGGGCACAGCCCTCCCCCCCCCCCATTTGCAAACACAAGGCTCTTGAATGCAGGTCCTCTTCACGGGCTGATGGTGTTGAAAAAGCAAGCTTACACAGTTTGATAAAAGGGGGGAAGTTGGGGGGGGCCCCCCCCCCCCTCACATAGGATTTTTGAACGCAAGTGCTCTTCACGGGCTGATGTTCTTTACAAGGCAAGTTTGCACGGGTTAAGAAAGGAAGGCGGGGGTTGGGGGGGCGGCGGGGCCGCCAAACCTGGCGGGGTGTGAGCTCTGGTGTGGGTGGATGCCGCGGGGCGATACCGGGGGTCCCTTGCGGCGGGAGGGGCGCTGCTTTGCGGATGGGGCGGTATCTCCATTGCAATTCCACCCGCAGACACGGTCCGTTATGTCCAAGAGGACCGATTCTCGGTCCTCTTCTTTTGGAGATACACTCCCCTGTATATCACGCCGCAGCATCCACCCACGCCAGAGCTCACACCCTGCCAGGTTGGGCGGTCCCGCCGCCCAAGCTTGCACCCAACCCCGCAGCGTCCCACGGCCCCACCGCGCCGTGGCATGCCAAAGCTCACATCCCGCGGCGTCCCACCGCCCTACCCCGTCCATGCCCGGCAATCCCGCCCAAGCTCGCAGCCCGCACAGCGTCCCACCGCGGGTCCTCCGGGTTCCTCCCATTCCATATGCCGTCCTGCGGCATCCCGCACCGAATCCTCGCAACCCCCCTGCCTGGACACCCTATAAACGAGAACCCAACCCCCAAGGGCCTTTGGGAAAAATATGAAGAAAATGGAAGTTTTCCTATTAAAATCTATGGAATATGCGGTTTCCTGTTTCAGGAGAAAACCAAGGATTTTCTATAATTATCACGTAGAGAAAATAAAATCTAGAGAATATACAGGTTTTCCTATCTAAACATAAAGAAATGCAGGATTTCCTTTTTAAATAAGTTTTGCCCATAAAAAAAGACTTCCCTATGAAAACGTAGAGAAAATGGAGGTTTTCGTATTGGAAAAAGGTTTCCCTAGTAAACCCAGAGAAATGAGACCAGAAAAGGCAACAAAAAAGAAAGGGCAAAATACAAACAGAGTCCCCTTGATAGCGGGTCGGGAATGCATCCTTCCTGATGTCTGGATTCATACGACGGTGGGCCACCAGGTCTACTGCAGCTTACCAGTAGAGGTACAGAAGCGGATGTCAAGGAGAGGACTCATGGATAAAAGGAAGCCTTTTTGGACGTACGTTTCCTTGGGTTCTTTACTAAGGGGTAGGTGGGCGGGTGCAGCGTGAAAATGAGTGTACCAGTTGTCGCAGCTTCAATTAGCCATGTTTTGCTGTGTCAATGTTGTGTGATATGATGTCTGATGCACGAACGTGGCTGGTGCATTGGCCGTGTCGCAGCACTTTGGGGGCCCCGGGGGCCCTGCTAAACTGCCTGCCACGTGCAGTCTTCCTGCTTCTGCACATTGCTCATCCCGTGTCAGCTCGTGAAACTGTGTGTATGCTGGTCGCATGATGCAGAACATGAGGGTTTTCCATGTGAAATCACAGAATTAAGAATGAATAACCCAACGCAGCCTGGTGGAGTTTTCATGCTTTGCTGTGGTTCAGAATTTATCATAATCTGCTATGATTCCAGATCCAATCCCTTCATCCGTTTAATAACCCCCCCCCCCCCCCAAAAAAAAAAATAGAAACCTAATCCCCAGCACCGCCCATAAAAATTCGGAACAATTTACAACCTTAGTTATTCGGGGGTATACGACTTGAGTAGTTTGACCATATCTAAACCAGTAAACCCTCAGCCCGGACTCAAACAAAAACTCAACCTCCTTCCCTCCCTCCCTTAGGGCGTAGGGTTTAGGGCTTGGGTGTAGGGCCAGGTAAAGGTTTGGGGGCAAGGGCAAGGGCTAAGGCTAAGGGCTTAGGCTTTTAATTAAGGTAGGCTTTAAGGGTTCGGGGAACGAAAACAGTAACCCCCTAATGCAAAACCCTTCGGTGGGGTTTTCGGGGGTCCTGTTTTAGGGAGGGGGGGGGTTCAATATTAGGGGGATCGGAGTATGACGATATCAAAACAGAGCCTGTATGCAACACCGAAACAAGGGCTCAGCCCAACTGTGCCTGGAGGACGCCGGGTCCCAGCACTCGTCCGGTATACCAATCTTTCCCTCCATGCGTTCCGCGACCGTCTCGAGGTAGCCAGACTTTAGAGCGGCAAGGAAGTCTTTTGCTGTCCAGTGCGCCTTCGAAGTTTGTGCAAGATCACGCTCAGTCGTCATTTGTGCCGAGGTCTCCTGGGAAAGCGCCGCAGTCTCCGATGACGTGGACTGGGACAGGATCTCTCCTTGGGAAGCTGGCACTTCCGTACTTTGAGATGAGCTGGCCGCCTCTTCTTCCACTTTGGATCGCCTCTGACTCGCTGTCGGGGAGACAGTCGACTCCGGGACCGGCTGACGCTGTTGAAGAGCTTTTGGCTTCACGGCTACACTCGATCCTGGTGACTCTGGAGACCCCAAAGCCACATCTCGTTGCCTGGGAGCAGGGTCTGGCGTCGAAGCCAACGGCGGTCTTGGTGCCACCATCCGCACTGGTGGTCCTGACCTGGGCCTTGGTGCAATCACTGAACCTGAATTTGTTGATGGGAGCGATCCCAATTTGTGCTGGCTGGGAGCTGCTGCCCGGGGAGGCACTCTGAAAGGATACTTGGCCGTAGCCTGGCGCTTCTGCGGCCCATTGACCTCACTCTGCGCATCGCCAAAACGCTTCGCTTGTGCGGGGGCTGAAGATGACGCAGACTTTGCAGGCGGATCTAGCTGCTCCGGTGCAAGGTTTGACCTGTGCTCCTCACAGTCCATGGCGCTTTTCAGCAGCCTAGATCACTTTGTTGTTTTTACATACGTGAACGGCTTTACATATCTGAACTCAGCTTCCTAGGATGCAGCAGTCATGTACATTCATATGTAGCTGGGAGTGCACAAGGCTGGCAAAGACACGAAATAGCCCTGAAGTAGGCTGGGCTGTGTACAGGAACAGCTTGTTGTGACAAACTATCCGGGACAACATCCAACTTCCTGGTTATATCAGAAAGAACAACGTAACAAGATTGAGCACATACAGCAAGCGCGCGCATCTGCGAGCAGTGGAAATGTATGAAAATGTACATAGCCCCCGGATAAAGACGTTGCACCTTTGGATGACGCCCCTCTCTTCATTTTGCACAAGCCTTGTTGATCAACCAGGATCGCCGCTGCATTCTATGACTATATATGCCAGTGTCGCCCACAAGCCTGCCCGCTCACTGCCCGACTGGGCCGGAGGGTCGTGTAGGGCTCCTTCCTGCGCTTGCCAAGCTGCACTTCCAAATCTGATTGATTCATGATACATTAAGAAGATTGAACATGATTTAGAAATGAAGGCTCCGGGGTCATCTTACCCGGATACAATCCCACAGGAACCCGAACGAACAGGTCTGTTGATACCGCAACGTCCAGAGGGCTTTGCAGCGCTAGTCCATTACACTCACAGGCAACAACTTGAAAAAAAATATCAAAGGTGTAGTCTAGGAACTTTTGGCAGTTTCTTGAAGCTGCAACCTTCGGACGACCCACTTGATTTCCACTAAAGATTGTCTGAGAGCTCTCGGTTGGGAATCCCACGACTGCAGCGTAGAAAATTCGGTGTGCTCAGCTTGATGCTTCCTTTCCCTAGTCGTCGGCCTAGCCTGCCCATAGAGTCGGCGCACCTACCAGGCGGGTATGTGAGGCGGGGGCAAAGATGGTGGGGGATGGTTGGTGATTTCGAGTCGGGAGTTGAGGGCAACTTTGTTTGGGCCCACAAGGCTTCGCGCAGCATTCGCGCAAGCCGACATGATCCAATGGGTTTTCCATGGGTTTCGCTCAGGGTACGAAGGTGCCAACCAGAATGCCCTTGGAATGCGTCCACAGCCCACGCAAACCGAATCAACTACATTCGGATGATGAAGTTAGTCTTGAAGAGTTTAGGACGTCATGCACTACATAGGCTGCTGAGGCATTTTGGGAGCTGATAAGGTAGGGGTGCTAGGATTATGTAAGGGTCCCGATAGGGGTCCTTGCTGGTAGCCATCAGTATATATAAACCGCCACCCAATATGAACTTTAAAGCTTGGTTAGTATGTTAGTATATTTGGTTTCCCTGCCCAGCACCCAGGACCGGTGTCAGGCCGAGCCCCAAAACATCCCCAAACCCACCCCCATAAAGCTTACGACGCCCTACCGTCTCTGCCCGAAACATGGCATACCTGAAGCTTACGACTAAATCGCGAAGAGGAGGTAGGGGATGCTGCTGACAAGCCGGCGCATTTGCAGAAGTCCATTATTGGATATGGTTTTCTGACAACCGCGCAACACATTGCTAATCTCTTGACATTTCGGAAGTTCAAAATGCCAGGTTTCCTGGAATGGCAAGTTATAGTGATCCGGACTACTGGCTAGCGGCTAGCGACATATGCTGGATACTAGTGATGGCCATGCTAAAACGAGATCTCCCTTCAAACCTCACGTTCTGCCAACCCACGCAGGCCCTGCCCTACCATGCGTTCTTTCATCGTCGCCCTTCTTTCCGTCATACTTTAGTAGGGAAGCGAGCTGTAGGTTGCAATTCAACCCTGCCTAACAGACATCAACTCACCCACATACCGATTGCACCAACTCTTTTGGCTAGGGTCTGCTTGTGAAGTGAGCCTGTCCGACATGTTGATTCGCACATCATCGCCGACAGACCCCAAACTTTTCAAACAAGAACATGTCTCCAGCAACCATCTACTGCCTACCGCCCCGCCTTTCTGGCTTTGCGTCGTGCCTTCTCCTTCGGGCAACTATCGCAGCTGGCGCCATGACTCGGCTCAACTGCAGAGCAGTCCAGCTGTAACCCTTTTTTGCTTACCTCTGACTTTGCAGTAGAACATGCTTAGTTGACTGTTACCTGGTTACGATTTTGTTTGACTTAGGGCTTGCCACCCCACATCTCCCTGCCTGTCAACATCTGCTGTTAGGGTACCTTGTGTCTGCCACGCAACACCTGGCACCAACCCCCACAGGCTTCACAGCCAGTACCATCTCACCTTTTAAGGTGACGGCCACTCCGCATCTCTTGAAAGTGTGGAAGGTCAAAACATGCCTATTCAAGCTTGATGGGCATGCCAGCATCTCCCTTTGGAGTTTGATACTTTTGTTGCTTGCAAGATGGCACCTCCTTCACTTAGCAAGTTATAGTATAGCTAAGCAGAGAAGAGAGTAAAGCTAGACATCTTCAAAGCCAACCATTGTAGACATCAGCCAGTCAACTGGAAGTACGATGAGGCGCTCTGATCAGTAGGGCTTCGGGGTCTCAGGTTTGGGCCCATCCCACCGTTAAAGCAAGCCGCAGTGAAGTCCCGTGCCTCCTGGCCCAAGAGGGAAGCCAACGAAAGCGCCTGTCAAGTTGCCGGCTTCCCTTCCCAAGCATCCGTCAACCTATGCGCCTCAAATAGTGTAGGGCGACAGCGATGTCATTTTTAGAACCCTCTCAGAGCATGCAACAACCTGAAAAGGCCCCAAAGAGTCTCCCACAAGCAGGCCTTGGAGCAGGGTGCACGAGGGTCTGTCATGGCGCTTTGCAGTGGGAAGCAGGTGCATTGTAAATTGTACACATCTGCAAATTCCACATCCTCTGAGTGAAATCCCGTTCATAAGAATCTCTCGGAAAGATCAAATGCTGTTGAGGTGTTGCCTCTATCAAGTACCTTCATCACTTGGTCCATTGGTGAAGCTCGATGGATGCAAAAACAACTGCGCACGAGCATCCTTCTACGGCGTAGGATTTCCGGCTCGGGGACTGGACACCTTGGGCGATTGAATCCGAGGAGGTTTCACGAACCAACGTAAGTTGGTCCCCGGTAGATCCCTGTGCAAGGAACCAGTCACGTGTCAAGGAGAGCTGATCGCCAGCTTTCCCCACAAATGCTGAATGCGTCGATGCGGGTCCAACACACCAGGGTGATACAGTAACAGCTTCCATGCTGCAGCGTCCCACAAAACCCGTGTTGGACGCTATGAACTCCCAAATTGCCCGAGATTTCGGCTTTAGCGGTTGGTGGTTCTCCGGCATCTTTTTCCCGAAAGCGTATCTGCAGCCCGACCATGCCCCCGACGCGCACGTCCCTTGGCTTGGGCCACCCAGGCCGAAACGTGCGCAGGGAAGGCAGGTCAGCCAGTTACCTTGCGTGTCTGGCGTCCCGGGGATGTGCCCAATGGCTGGAGGATGTACGAATTTGATGAAGTTGATGCAAATCTTTCGAGCGTTTCCCCATTTTTGCACCCCAAGAAGGAACCCGTGGAAATCCACATCATAATTTGGGGAATGCCAATGTTTTCATGCAGCAGCTACTCGGCCTTTCATAACAATGCGAGCCACGTAGTTCCTCGATAGATTCATGGGGGTAAGCGGACCTTTGCAGGCATGGATGTACTCAAGGTGGCCGTAGTCATGGTGGCACCGGTCTCCAAATGCTGCCGGGTTGGAGCATGGCGTAGGCATGGATGCACGTGTCTCCGAATGCAGCCCACCCACCAAACCAACAAGGAACTTTAAAAAATAGAGCGGGGGCACGAACCCGAATGCAAACACCTGTCACGCACACGACGAACATAACCGAAGCAATGCCCACCACGACTTCGGACTCGACGTGACATTTTCTAAAATTGTTGCTCACTTTCTTTCTTTTTTGGGGGATCGATCTCTATCTCTCTCTCTCTTGCCCTCCCTTCTTCTTCTTCTTCTTCTTCTTCTTCTTCTTCTTCTTCTTCTTCTTCTTCTTCTTCTTCTTCTGCTTGGCTTGACGGGCGCAGTCCCCCCCACCCCCTCCCGTGCTGGGCGCATTGTGAAACTGCAAGGAGGCCTTTCCCCGCATCTGTCCCCAAAGCACGCCTCATTCCCTCCCTCTCTCCTCTTCTTTTTCTTCTTCTTCTTCTCCTTCTTCTTCTTCTTCTCCACGCTTCCTCGACGGCCAAGCGCTTCAGTCCGTCTTAGGACTCCTGTTGAGTCAGTCGGCTTTCGGGCCGTGATTGGTTCACCACAGCCAACATGGGCCCCCTGGTTCATTTTCCCGTTCACTTCATAGTCTGTGGCCTGGGCGAGCACGTTGTCGTCGAACAGGTCCCCTTCCTCTTTCTTTATGGGCTTTTCTTCCATTCGGGCTCGTTTTCGAGTTGAACTTGAGGCTAGCATCGCGAATTCCAGCGGGTCTCCGTCCAGGCCGGCGAGGAAGTCCTCCAGCACTCTCCCCAAGAAAGGAGGTGCTGTGGTCGCTGACGCAATTCTTCTCCCCGATGCCCACACTGTCCCCGAGGACCACTCGCATTCAACTGCGGTCCCCGGCGCTTGGGAGAGGGTTAGGCGCTCTTTCCCCGCAAAGGAGCTGTTCATGGTCTCGTCGTCCTCATGGGCTTGGCACGATGGCCGTTCTACGACGGATCCCCGTGGCGAACACGCCGGCCCTGCGTGTTGAGGTCCAGGCCGAGTCCGCCAGAAGCTCGTCCTTGGGGGTGTCCCGGCGCAAGCCTCCAATGACGATGGCCCTTCGGCGTCCCCTGTCCTGATCCCATTGCGCTGCTGGGTCCTCCCGTCGTCGAGCATGTTCCTTGCTTCTCCAGCGTGGCGGGGGGTTGTGCATGGCTGTCTTCTGCTGGTCCGCGACGCGGCGCTCCATGTTGCGCATCGCTGTTTTTATCTCGCCAAGGAAGCTCTGAACCTCGGCGCGCAGCGCAAGCTGAACGTCGGTCAACTGGAGCGGGACTTTGTCCTGGGATAAGAACTCTTCGATGGAATTCATCTACCC